TTATTTTTAAAAGATTTTATTTTTATTTATTTGACAGCGCGTGCGAGAGCACAGGTAGGGGGAGCAGCAGAGGGAGAAGCAGGCTCCCCCTTGAGCAGGGAGCCCCCTGTGGGGCTGGATCCCAGGATCCTGGGATCATGACCTGACCTGAAGGCAGTCACTTAACTGACTGAGCCACCCAGGCACCCCAGTGTTTTAAAAAGGTATGAGGCAGAATGGAAGACGGCCTGGAATATCCAATGGAGGCAGGGAGACTACTGCAATAGTCCAAGCATGACTCAAGGGTGGGATCCAGGCAAGCAAGGATGGGCAGGCTACAAAGGATTCGGTCACCCCCTTCCACTTCCATCCAGATGGTGAGTGGAGAGAGGAACCTGGGATGACAACTTGCCCGCCTGAGTGGACAACATTGCCTTTAAGCAAGATAGGGAACTGAGGAGGGGTAAGGGGTCTGGGAGAAAGGATAATGAGTCTCATTTTGCGTGCTGGGTTTGAGCCCCTTGAAACATCCAGGCACACATGTGCCAGTAGGCTAAAGGCTTGGTCTGGAGGCGCTATGCATCTGCACTGAGATTACTCGTAGCCCCAGAAAGCACAAAGGGGAACACAGTGACAGGAGCACCAGGGACAGAGCCCTGTGAACACCAGCATTTAGGGAGGAAGAGGAGTCTGTGAAGGATGGTGACCAAATGGGGCTTACCACCACCCCCACCCCATCCATTTCCAACAACTAAGTCAATGACTGCCTCCTGGTAACCTTTCTCACGAGGGGCAGAATTTATTATACAGTAGAACTTCACCTGAAACTCACGCCACCTAGCAACATTATCTACTGGGAATACCAGAAGCAAAACGGTAGCCAAGGGCCATTTGTCAATCCGTCCTGTAGCTGGAACTGAGCTAGGTCTTTCCTTATCTGACCCTCAGAATGCCATTAAGCAGTATTGACTGACTCATTTTACAGATCAGGAACTGAGGCACAGAAGTTGTAATACACCTGGGCCCCAAAAGATAGCAAATGATGATGTGGGATACAAGCCAAACACAGGCAACTTGACCCTTCAATTTGGGCTTAAAAAAACCCCATCTAGTCTAAGCCATGCCCTACAGCTCATTCTCATTATACAAAAGGTACCCTTTCCCATTAGGGCTCACTCAAGGCCCAAACAAAACTGTCCTCAGTGAGCTTATTTGTACCCTAACCTTACGAACCGAGAAGGGAGCTATCTGGGCCAGCAGATAGCTGCCAGGGAAGGAGACAGACTAACAACGGGGACAAGAACCCAAAGTCCCACATGTGTCCTCTTGGGCAGCCATCTGCTTTGGGTCCCTAGACTCTCACCATAGACTGTATTCTATAGCAACGGCCCCTAGTAATAACGGACTTTGGTTATCAAACCCTGAAACCAAAGCCCAAACAAAACCCAAGCTGTGGCATCTGCTTAAGAAAGGTAAACTCTAGGGGTGCCTGGGTGGCTCAGTGGGTTAAAGCCTCTGCCTTCGGCTCAGGTCACGATCTCAGAGTCCCGGGATCGAGCCCCACATCGGGCTCTCTGCTCAGCGGGGAGCCTGCTTCCTCCTCTCTCTCTGCCTGCCTCTCTGCCTACTTGTAATCTCTGTCTGTCAAATAAATAAATTAAAAAAAAATCTTAAAAAAAAAAAAAAAAAGGTAAACTCTAAAAGCAAATAAAACCAAAAATCTTGACTTCAGTTTTGACTTTTTTTTTTTTTTTTAAATTGGTGCTATAAATGGGGACCCTTGACTTCCCAGAAAACTTAACTAGCCAGATCAACCCAGAACTGAGGTCTGGCAATCTCTACTTCTAGATCGTCAGTCATCACTCACATCTTGTCTCTATTCCTAGGGACCTCCAATTCCAACTCTCACATTCCCAGCTCTGTTAGGCACTCCAGTAGTCCCATAAACCTAACTGTCTAAATAAATGTATGCTTTCTACCTCTCCCACCCTGTTCCCAAATAGGACCGGTGTTCTCCCAAATTCAAACCCTTAGAACCATTTCCTGCCTCTTCCCTTATCAGAGACACCCAGTTAGGACATGGAAAACCTGACATCTCAAACATCTTCCCAAGCTCCCCCTTACCTTCTGTTCCCATTCTATTATCTACGGCTCTACCTCAAAACCATCTTTCTGAAAATTAACTTTTAATCATTTAATTTCCTTACTGAAAAATCTCCTTGAAGTCTCTTATGGCCAGATTACTCAGCCTGACTTCCAAGGTTCCACTGCGGAGCCCAACATCGGAGAGAGAGAAGAAAAGGAAGAAAAGAAAGAAAGGAAGAGGGATGGAGGGAGGGAAGAAAGAAAGAAAAAGAAAGAGGGAGCAAAGAAGGGAAAGGGAAAGAAAGAAAAAAAGAAAGAGAAGGAAAGGAAAGGAATGGAAGAAAAGGAAAGAAAGAACGGAGAGAGACTGACTTGATGACCTCACCAGGGTCTTTAAGTAAATCAGTCCCTTACAATACCTAAGGTGACCTCCTCACTCATTCTGTTGCTTTGTGTTGAGGTGACGTCATTATTTGTATATTACAAAGTTTCATCTATTTCGTTAATATGGATAAAAACACAGCCCTTCAGGGGTGGAATCTTCACAGTGTAGACAGAATCTGTGGTACTGCGGAGATTAACTTATGATCTCTTTGCAGAAGACCAATCTCCAAACCTGCAGATCTTCTCTGCATTGAGGAGTTGGTTGTCAACAGCACACACTCAGCAACTTCTGCAAAGGGGTAACACTTCCCTCATTTCTAAGTTTGCTTTACAATGTAAGTCTATTATGGTTTGCTTTTAAAGTTCTATTTCTTGTGTTATAACATATACATTAGTATACACCCATAGAAATAAATATATCGAGGCCATGCTCTTGATACATTTTTACTCCTTTTTTTAAAAAAATTTAATTTATTTATTTGACAGAAGGAGATCACAAGCAGGCAGAGAGAGGAGGAAGCAGGCTCCTCTGCTGAGCAGAGAGCCCAATGTGGGACTCATCCCAGGACCCTGGGATCATGACCTGAGCTGAAGACAGACGCTTTAATCCACTGAGCCACCTAGGTGACCCTACATTTTTACTCTTAAGGATACCAGATTCAGGAGCACCTAGGTGGCTTGGTCAGTTAAGCCTCTTGATTCCCACTTGGGTCGTGATCTCAGGGCTGTGGGATTGAGCCCCAGACTCTGCACTAGGTATGGGCTCTGCATAAGATTCCTTCTCCCTCTACCTCTCCCCCTCCCCGACTCTCTTTAAAAAAAAAAAAAAAAAAAAAAAGGATACAGGATCCAAAGTCTCTAGACCAACGTACTTATTTCGCTCAATCTCATCATTCTGACTTACTCCAGTTCCTTCTCAGTATCACCACCTGTATGTCCCATATGCATTTTAAACTTAACATCTCAAACTGAGCTCCTAATATCCTCCCCCTACCCAAACCCACTCTCCTCCAACAGCCTTTCCCATCCCAGCAATTTCAAAGCCCGACGTCTTCGTGTCCTTCATTCTGGTCCCCGTCATCCAACCGTCCCTCAGCAAATCCCACAATCTTACCCGAGATCAGTTCCCTTCCTTCCCCCACTCCTCAGCATCAGCCTTCGGCACCTCCACCTGTCCTAAGTTGGGTCCTCTCTCAAGTGCCGCTCCTTACTCATCTTGGTCTCTCCTGCAGCGCCCAGCAGGAGCAGGGCGAGCGTGGATACTCGGTGCTCTTGTGTACTTCTTTTTCAAATGAATCTTATAAACAGGAAACTGATCTGAAGAACAGAACCTAAAACAGAAATCTGGACTCTCCTTTACTAATCAACTCCCTCCTGGGTGTGATACTTAAAGAGGCAATGTGGGTTCGCAAACTTTAGTTCTATTAGAATCACCGGGGCACCTGGTGGACATGTAAAAGGGGGCAGGTCCTACCCTCCTTCCATGCACCCGGGGCGGTTCCTCATCAGCTTTCAGGTGATTCTAACACACACCGGAGTTAGAAAACCACCATCCTTATGGTGCCTAAAAATAGCTTAGGCTCGAGCACTCCCAGAAGCCCTGCACAGTCACCACACCTGGGGGCAGGCCCAGTCCGCCCACCGCAAGCAGGATCCTACAAAAGGGTCCTGAAGAGGAGGCGGCGTCTTCTCGTTCTTAGAGGGAAAGCTTGGTTATCCAACCCCCACGGACAGGGGCCAGGACAGCGGACTTTTAATTCTCCAGCCAAATGACTGTAACCTTGGACCAGTTCCCCACCCTCGGTATCTCAGTCCGCCTGCACTTTGGAGTTAACAGTTACACGCTATTTGCATGGATGCTACAAGAACAAGGTCAGTCGCCTCAAGTACTACAGAAAGTTGCAAACAAACGTGAATTATTTTCGGCGCTACAGCCAAAGCCTGAAGTTGTGCAGACCCAGTGCAGGCTCTCTGGGGGGTCCGGGGGGACGAGCCGGGGGGCGTCCCCCCTCCCTCTCCCGGGCTTTCTCTGGCACTTCCCTCCCGGTATCCGGGCCGGCCCACGGCGCCACAGGCGCGGGTCGGTACCCGACGACCCTGCGGTCTAGGCTGGCCCGGGGATCCACGTGGCCTCCGCCCGCAGGCAGCCCCTCGTCGGGCCTACCTGGGCCGAGGTGCTGAAGCTGCGGCGGAGAGCGGCGCCGGCAGGGCGGGCGAGGGCGGAGAACATGGCTGGAGCGGGCGGGGAGCGGAAAGGCAGGCGAAGGAGCTACCCGCTGGCAAGTGACACCAACGACCTCCACACTGCACCGGGCCTCCCGGCTCCGCTCCGCCGGGTCTCGCGAGAGTGGCCCGGCTTCCGGCCCCGCCCACCTCCCAGATCTCGCGGTATCCGGTCCTTCGGGGGCTGTGCGGGGAGGAAGGTGCAGGGACGCTTCCTGCGCACCAGGAGCGCGGTCCGGGCGGAGTCGTGGCGCGTCTCGCGTTCCGTGCGGCCGCTGGGGGAGACGCGGTCGCGAGTGGGAGGGAGAGTCCGCACGAGACAGTGGAAGAGGACGGGATTTAGGCTGGAAGAGCCTTAGAGGAGCCGTTTCCAGGTGGGGCTCCAGACAGAGGCTCTGACAAGGAGACAGGTCAAGGTCGCGCTGCAGGCCCGGCGGAGTGGGTGCGGTCCGGGGCCTGGACCTCAGCCCAAACCAACCCTCCTGCTCCTGGCTCCGGAAAGCTCTGGAAAGGAGCGTGCGGAGAGGAGGTTGAGTTTGGGGGGGTGGGGTGGGAGGATGGGGTCCCCTGTGATCAGCCATTTCGGTGCAAAGCGCCCCCCCATCCTCCCACCCCACACAGCCCAGCAGCCAGGGCCCTCGCCCCTCAAGGGGCACAGGACCTTCACAGACCCCGCCATTAAGAATGGCGGACACAGCACTGAGGGCCGCTCCACGAGTTTGCGGGAGAGCAGCAACCTGGTATCAAGGTGGTAACTTGCATGGTCCCCCGGGCCCTGCTCCTCAAGCCACATTGTTGCAGCTTTAGGTGCGAAGGAACTGGGGCTGAGCCCCCGTTAAGCGGATTTGTTGAGTTTATCCGGGTGGAACGTAAAGCTGCGGTTCTAGCTCACAAGGAATGTATCGTTTACGTTTACATTTACAAGTTGAATTAGAAGCTTCGTTCCCCCATCTCAGCAATTTTCTGGAAATACCGAATTTCTCAAGGAGTTCAGGCAGGTGGGGCAGATGAGTGTGCAGCAGGCTGGTGGTTTCACAAGATCTGCCCCATTTTCTGCCTTTTAAGGAGCTGAGTCTATGCGGGGGAGACCTGTGTTGCAGGCAGCATGATAGGGGCAACCCTAGGAAAGTTAAGAGCTGTGGTGGGAACGAAAGGAGATGAATTTTTTTTTTTTAAGATTTTATTTATTTATTTGACACACAGAGGTCACAAGTAGGCAGAGAAGCAGGCAGAGAGAGAGGGGGAAGCGGGTTTAACCCCGGTGAGCAGAGAGCCCGATGCGCAGGGCTCCATCCAAGGACCCTGAGATCACGACCAGAGCCGAAGGCAGAGGCCCAACCCACTGAGCCATCCAGGAGCCCCAGGAGGTGCATCTAATCCACATTTGGGGTGGGGGCCATGTGAGCAGCACCTCAGGATGAAACATGGAGGCAGAGACATTCAGGAAGGAGTTACTCCGGGGGACCATTCAGCTGGAGGAGGAAGAGATCCTCACCTGGGCATGGGAGTTCAAGTGTTTAGATGAGAAAGAAGAGCCCAAAGTCAAACCTGGGGGTGGAAAAACCCAAGTCTATGGATGGTGAACAGATCCTCTCTGGGAGTTGGGGACATGCAGAGGAGCAGTGTCCTTTATCTTAACACTGTTCTCTGGTACATCACTTACCCTGCATCAGATCACTGGAACTGAGAGTTCTTGTGGTCAGATATGTCTGTCCTCTCTGCGTCTTTATTCTCCAGCCACAGCACTGGGCCGATAGTGGGTCTCTGTTTTGGAAGAGTTGGATAGTTTTAGATAAGGCTGGCCAAAGCAGGGCATGCAGGACTCCAAAGGTTCACTGAGAAGTTTGTATTTTATTCCTGGGGCAGCAAGTGTTTATCAAAGGTCTTTATGAGGCCACCGGGTCTATGAGGAAGATTGGATTGACCTTGGTATGCCAAGGCTTCCAGTGGAAAGATATGGAGGGCAGGGAGATTGTTCCGGAGGCTGTCTTAGGAGATAAAGACCTGAGTTATGATGGTGGCCATAGAAATGGAGGGAGTAGGGCAAATGAGCAAGCAGTCTCCAGGAGAGAATTGATTCGTCTGTGCCTATCTGGGTTTAAGCAATGAACGTAAGGGATGAAGAACATCAGGCTGAGAGAAGTTATCTACATGTAGAAATGGGATTTGGGGATGTGGGGAAGGAGAGCTGGCTGGAGGAAAAGGTAAAGAGTTCCGTTTACATGGTTTGAATTGGAAGTGATGGTGAGTTGTCCACATAGAACTACCAGTGGGCAGATGGGGAGTTACTCCAACATGAAATGTGGGACTGAATGCCGGAGAGAGGGTAGGGATGAAGGCATCTTTGTAAAGGGGAGAGGGGAGGCCATGAGATAGAGGAGAATCCTAGATTCTCAGGCTCACTCCCAGCACCGGGGGTTCAAGTCCTTCCCCATCCCTGCCAAGTGCTCTACTGAGGCCACCCGAAACAACTTGACTGTTAGGAAAACCAGCCTCACATTCAGTTCCCAGCTGCTTCCCTTTCCATCCCAAGATGGTTCATAACCGTATTAACAGCTACTGTATTAAGCACTGACTCTCTGCTTTGCATGTGTACTTAACACTGAACATGTTTAGGAAGCCCCTTGCAGTCCTAAAATGGCTTTGTCATCTTCCCACGCATTCTTGCTTTATTTCTTTGCTTGTTCTTGGGTCACACTGAAGCATGAGAACAGACTCGTTGTAATTGCCTCAATGTCCAGTTTACATTAGTTGTCAAATCTAAACTTGATTCAGTGTCAAAACTTCTCTTCCCCTCTCAAGCTTGCTTTAGGCTCCTACTCTTGGAGGGGAAGGTGCTGGGCTTCTCCATTTCCCCATCTTGCTTCCTCACAGCCTCTCCTCTCCTGTTAGACTGTGGCTTCGGAGCCTTAGAGGTTGTAGGAGTAGAGATGGGGGGAGGCAAGTTGCCCCTGTCATGTGGAATTAGTATTCTGAGCCGGACAGGAGTTTGTAGTTGATCCCCTCCATGTGGTGCTTTTGGGGTGTGGTACCTTTGACCTAGGTGGTGATGCCCCAGTCTCGCTGCTTTCCATTGTTCCTTCAGCCCCTGGTTTCTGGAATTCTGTACTACCTGCAGTTGACCGATAGTTCCCCCAGGTGGCAAGTCTTGGGCAAAGTCTCTTTACAATGGCTTCTGGTTGACTGCCTCTTTTGCCCGTATTTGATCTACAGGAAACACTTATGTCTCCTTTGCCCCAACAATCTTGGGGGTGTGTGGTGCAGGGCATTTCAAATGCATCTGCCTCTCCAGGTAGCCAGCCTCAGACTTTTCCAGCACCAGCCTCTCTGCCTACACTAGCTCCAGGGGGCACAGGCCAAGCTATTCGGAGGGTTTTCTGGTTTCATGAATTGTTTCAAGAAAGCTAAGGCTTGTGAGTGCTGGAATTCAGAAGGATGCTAATGGAGAGAGAAAGCTTTGAGATTGCCGAAAGGAGAGAAGGTTTAGGTGGGAGAGGATGAGGTCAGAGGATTCCAGGAGGAAGCATGAAGTCCCCCTCACCCCTACCACCCCCAGGGACAGCTCGCCGAGGAGGGCGGTTCACACTCAGGGGCCTTACCCTTCCCAAGCAAGAACCAGGAAATGAGAGAAGTTGCTCCATGGGGACCCAAGGAGGGCTGAGGAGGTTTGGATAATAGTTAGAGCAATTGGGAAAATTCTGGGCAGATGAGCAGCGAGACAGACATTTGCTGGTAGCTGTGGAGGCCGAGCTGAATTCTGCAGTGTGTACTTTCTGTGTCCAAGTCCACATGGTTCCCACAGCCTAGACCCCACACCAAGGTCATCCGTGCGCAGGTAGGGCTACACACACAGGCTCCTATCCACACACACCTGCATACTCGTAGCCGTGAACACAGAGGCACCTGGATCTACCTGGGATTCCTTTTTATGGCAACATAGTTTACATACAATACAGTATACGGATCTTAAGTGTTCAGTTGGATGGTTTTGACAATTTACGGCGTTAACCACCGCCCCCCAAAACAATCTAGGACATTTTCATTGTTCCAGAAAGTTCCTTCATGCTCCTTTCCAGCAGTCCCCCAGGACTGCTACTTCCTGATTCCTATCCCCATAGTTTCATTTTTGTCTGTTCTGATATATTTTTGTACACACATGTGAGTACACCAACCCCCTCCTTGCCCTACTCTGCACATATGCAAGCCATACACCCCACATCTGCTGACCGCTTTGTGCCTTACAGTAAGCTTGGACCACGGTTACAGACTATCCTGTTCTTGCTGCGATGCCGGTATATGCTTTTTTTTTTTTTTTTAAAGATTTTATTTATTTATTTGACAGAGATCACAAGTAGGCAGAGAGGCAGGCAGAGAGAGAGAGGGGGAAGCAGGCTCCCCGCTGAGCAGAGAGCCCGATGCGGGGCTCGATCCCAGGACCCTGAGATCATGACCTGAGCCGAAGGCAGAGGCTTAACCCACTGAGCCACCCAGGTGCCCCAGATGCTGGTATATGCTAACCTACCTTATCTTCAACCCTAAAATCGAAACTCAAGTGATGTGTTTTTTTTTCTTTTTTGTTATTTTTATTGACATACAATGTATTATTTGCCCTAGGGGTACAGGTGTGTGAATCATCAGTCTTACGCATTTCACAGCCCTCACCATAGCACACCCTCCCCAGTGTCCATTGCCCAGCCACCCTATCCCTGGCCCCCCACCACCCAGTTTGTTTCCTGAGATTAAGAGTCTCTTATGGTTTGTCTCCCTCCTGATTCCATCTCGTTTCATTTTTTCCTTCCCTACCCCCCCCCCCGACCCCCCACCCTGCCTCTCAAATTCCTCATATCAGAGAGATCATATGATAATTGTCTTTCTCTGATTGACTTATTTCACTCAGCGTACTACCCTCTAGTTCCATCCACGTCGTTGCAAATGGCAAGATTTCATTTCTTTTGATGGCTGCATAGTATTCCATTGTGTGTGTGTATATGTGTGTGTGTATATACATATATATATAATATATATACCACATCTTCTTTATCCATTCATCTGTTGATGGACATCTAGGTTCTTTCCATAGTTTGGCTATTGTGGACATTGTTGCTATAAACATTTGGGTGCACGTGCCCCTTCAGATCACTATGTTTGCATCTTTAGGATAAATACCCAGTAATGCGATTGCTGGGTGGTAGGGTAGCTCTATTTTCAACTTTCTGAGGAACCTCCATGCTGTTTTCCAGAGTGGCTGCACCAGCTTGCCTTCCCACCAACAGTGTAGGAGGGCTCCCCTTTCTCCACATCCTCGCCAACATCTCTCGTTTCCTGACTGGTTAATTTTAGCCATTCTGACTGGTGTGAGCTGGTATCTCACTGT